TTTGACAGTATTGGTTGCCTAGGCATGATCTTTTTGACAATATTGGTTGCCTAGACATGATCTTATTAAACATTCTTGGTTGTCTAGGCCTGATCTTCGTTGACACTATTGGTTGCCTAGGCATTATCTTTTTTGACAGTATTGGTTGCCTAGGCATTATCTTTTTTGACAGTATTGGTTGCCTAGACATTATCTTTTTTGACAGTATTGGTTGCCTAGGCTTAATCTTTTTTTGACAGTATTGGATGCCTAGGCATTATCTTTTTTGACAGTATTGGTTGCCTAGGCATGGTCTTAGTTGACAGTATTGGTTGCCTAGACATGATCTTATTAGACATTCTTGGTTGTCTAGGCCTGATCTTCGTTGACACTATTGGTTGCCTAGGCATTATCTTTTTTGACAGTATTGGTTGCCTAGGCATGATCTTTTTTGACAATATTGGTTGCCTAGACATGATCTTATTAAACATTCTTGGTTGTCTAGGCCTGATCTTCGTTGACACTATTGGTTGCCTAGGCATTATCTTTTTTGACAGTATTGGTTGCCTAGGCATTATCTTTTTTGACAGTATTGGTTGCCTAGACATTATCTTTTTTGACAGTATTGGTTGCCTAGGCTTAATCTTTTTTTGACAGTATTGGATGCCTAGGCATTATCTTTTTTGACAGTATTGGTTGCCTAGGCATGGTCTTAGTTGACAGTATTGGTTGCATAGGTATGATCTTTTTTGACAGTATTGGTTGCCTAGGCATTATCTTTTTTGACAGTATTTGTTGTATGGATATGACCTTGATTGACAATATTGTCTGCCTAGGCATGGTCTTAGTTGACAGTATTGGTTGCCTAGGGATGATTTTATTGGATTTTCTTGGTGATGTCAGGGTCTATTAAAAAATTTACAAATCCTTAGATCCCACAGAAACACCTTTACCTAAACCTTACACACTAGTGGTATTTATTGTGTTCATTTCCTTATAGGCAAGACAAGAGAGTGACTATAATATGTTGTCTCATGACGACATCTTAAAAGTTGCCATGACAACACTACTTGTTCATATTCATCCTGGTGATGATACCTGTGATAAATGTGAGCCGGGAGTAGTACAAGCACAGATTGCGAAACAACAACCTAAAGTAAATGGTAGGTTAACACATTGCGATCCATGGCACTGAATGCTGTCAATTATGTATGAGTAAAATGTGTGTTGGTAAAATGGTTATTTGAGAGTATGTGAAAAAAAAAGAAATTGGGGTAAATTGTATGTATTGTGACAATTTTAAATTCAAAATAGCCACCAGAGTACGGCTTGAAGCTATATGAGGGAAATCATAAAGTTGTTTTCATGGAAACAAGTTTGGGTACCTC